TCCCATCGCTTGTCCCAGCTCCCACCAACCTAGCGGTTTGAAAGCATGCAAATGCGAGTAGATAAATAGGGACCACCTCGGTGGGAAGGTAACAAGCGTTCTGTGTCTAAGTTGGACTGACCATGTGACCACGGAAGATTTTCTTTGGACAAACGCTGGCTCTATGGCTGGGAAATGGGGATGAGCACTGCCCCCTAGAGTCGGACACAACTGGACAAAAATTGTCAAGGGGAACCTTTACCTTTACCTTTATCTGTGTGAAATGGGTTTTTCATCACTTTTGCATATAAAAACAAAAACCAGAAATCACTTAAATGCAAGTGCTGACATATGCATAGCTCTTTCAAAAAAAAAAAGAACTGCACTTTCAAAATATTGTTATGAATAAACAACAACAAATTAGCCACTAAAAATCGAGACATTATTTTAATTTTATGTGTATATATGTGTGTATATCTGTTTTTCAGTAAATAGTTTTGCAACAAATGTAATTTTCCAACAAATAAATTGGAACACATTTTTCAAGGGGGTGCAAGAATGTATTTTGATATTCAGTGGGGTGCCTACCACTAAAAAGGTTAAGAACCTTTGCTGTAGTCTATAAAGCACAGAATAATCTTCTTCTGAAATTCTTTGGTATCCTCCAGTAGCCAGTGGATATTTGCAACATAATCTCGAGTGCCTGTTGCTTTTCAGAATCCAACCTGAACATAACACATTTCTCAATCTCTATAAGGTAAAAAAAATTATACTATGGCAAGAAAAGTGCATTTTTTACCATTGCCAATTGAGTATTTCAACAGAATTTAATTTTATTTTAAATGTTGCATCATATTCTGTTTAGTCTGGTAAATGAATCGTAAGAAAAATTTTTGAACTCTAAAACTGAACCACTCTTTTGCAGTGTACAGATAATAATAACAGTTTTAGAACTGCAGAGCTGGAAGGGACCCTATGGACCATCGAGTCCAGCCACTGTCAGGGAGGCCCAGTGGGGAATCAAACTCTCAACCTCTGACTCTGCCGCCAGAAACCTAAGCCAGTTAGATTCATCATATGTTGCTGATATCACTATGTACCCACAAGAAAAGAGTTCTCTTACAGGGTGAATGAAACTGAACATAGCCAGGCAGAAAAAGCTGTTAAAGGCTTGTCTTTCATCCAGCTATTTTTATCCTCAAAGACTTCTCAGGCAAATGGCTTTGAAAGCATTTTGTAAAGGTTAAAACAATATATGGATTATTGTCCTTGTGAGCTGTATCAAAGGATACCCAGACAGGTAGCTAATTTCTATATCCTGTACAGTGGTGCCTCGCTTAACGGGCGCCCTGTTTAACGACAAATCTGCATAGCGACGATTTTTTTGCGATCGTTTTTGCGATCGCATTGCGATGTTTTTAATGGGAAAATATCGCTTTGCGATGATCGGTAAGCTGTTTTGCTTACCGATTTTCGCACAGCGATGATTTCCCAACAACTGATCGGCGGTTCCAAAATGGCCACCGGGTAAAAAAAATGGCTGCCCGTTGTGTTTCCGCCCAGATTCCTCACTTACCGGGCAGTGAAAATGGCGGCCGTATGGAGGATTTTCACTTAAAGGTGAGTTTTTTGCTCATAGGAACACATTAAACGTGTTTTAATGCATTCCTATGGGCTTTTTTTCGCATAGCGACGATTTTTGCTGCACGGATTACCGTCTCTATGTATTTATAAAGCACTGAGAAAAAGCAATCTATAGTGAAACCTATTTACAGTCTCAACAGTTGTTTTGGCTGGGAAAACATATATTAAAGAAAGAAAATCAAGACGATTTCGCACTTCACAGTATGATTCTAATCACATAGGAGCACATCCCAGTAGTATTTTAATTGGCTAAAATCCAGTTCTGTAGAGTTATGCTGCATAAGGCTGTCATCAATATCCACCCTTTTGAGGGAATTAAAAGTTTCCAATCCTCCAGCCTTCAAGTTCTGAAGCATGATTAGGATACTTCTGACCTGGGGAAGCTTTTGGGGGCTGTGGGATAGGGGAGGAATTTTTTTTGTTCATGGTGGCAGCCACTGCTTAGTTATAAGATCAGCAATTTTGGAAACCAAACCCCAGTCCTCAAAAGCACCTCCAGGATGAAAGGTATTGTTGGAAAGCTTCAGAACCTGGGGATGGGGTGGGATTGGAAACCTGTGACTCTCCAAAAATGTCTATGGCTAATAACATCATCAGCCTCATGCAAAATAATTTTATGCAGTTATACTTATTTTCTTATTGTTGCATATTGTCAGCATATTTTGTTTCCAACACACACACACAATAGTTGCTTCTATATATTTTATTCAGCCATGGATAAAACATTTTATATCATCATATTTACAGGACTAGCTCTATACTTGGGCAATAGTTGCTTCTATATATTTTATTCAACCATGAGGCATGAGATAAAAATTTTATATCGTCATATTTACAGGACTAGCTCTATACTTGGGCAGAGTGAAGTGGTTGCATTACATTTTTGTGATGCGGCAAATAGTTGGTTTGCTATTGTGGTATTGTTATTGTGATTATCTGCTTCTTATGCCAGCATGGATTGGTTGCCTTTATATACTTGTAACCTCACTTGAGGGTGTGTGGTTTGCCACTTACCGTTCTATCTCATTTAAACTAGTATCTTGGGCCACCATCTCTCTAAATTTCTGGCTCCAACATTCTCCGTTAAAACTGAAGCTCTATGTCTAAGAAATTAAACCTTCGGAAATAGCAACAGTAGAGAAGGGAAACAGGATGGGCCACAAAGGCTCTACCCCCATCCCCCTACCAACCAAAGCATGACAAAACCTCAATAGTAAACAATGTAAGTCTACTTTCAGACTTAAAATACGGCAGTAACAAGTGCCTTTAAAAAATAATGTAAAATTGGGATTGTAATCAAAGGTAAAACATTTGGTGTAGTTTTTTTTCCTATATGAGTCAAAGCATGGAACTTTCTGCAGGGTCCTATGAGAGATGCTGAGTAAGACTGGAACTGGGGAGTTTTATTTTGATGATGCTAAATATACCTCCGAGGTTTAAACTGTTTGCAGGTAAATTAGTGCTTGAGTTTCCCTTCCATGAGGCCTGGTTCTGAATAGGCAGATTGAGTTGTCTGCCTCAGGCAGCAGATTTTGTGTGTCATGAAAACATGCAAACTGTTGGTGATACTGTATAGTTTGCTATGATTGTGTTTTCTGTGAGTAGGGTAGGGAAACTTGAGGGATTGCTACCTTATGCGCCGAAAGAACTTGGCTGCCTATGAGTAGAGTAGGCGGTTGCCATTTGCTGTTCTGCTTCAAACAGCAAAAGGTTTTAGACTGGCCCTAACCGTAACATTCCAATTTTACTAATGATCTAATGAAAGTCTAATTACCTTTTTAAAGTCAAGAAAACAAACAGAATATCTGGATTCTGCCAGGTATCCTCAGCTGTTACACTAACTTGATTGTTAAATTTCAATTTAATTAATGTACTCATATACCATTTTGCAGAAATGCTTAAAAAATTAAAAGTGAGTTTTTTTCCATCTCTCCATGACCAATAAGGCTGTTTTGAATCTCATCTCTATCTGGAACTGCCAAGGACAGAATCTGGGGCTTTCTGTATAAAAGAGATATGGGCTATACAGCCAATCCTGCTCACTTCTCTTCCTGGCACAAAGACAGATGTATACAATAGAATCAGGTTAACAAAAATAGGCACCACAGAAATAAAACAAATAGCAACTGGATCTGTTTATTAATTTAAAAAAGTGCTCAAGGCAGCCAGCAAAAATCATAAAAAGAATCATTTTAAAAGTTTGATAGCTTGTGCTTTTCAGCTGAGCACACTCAGGAATAGAGATAATATTCCAGATTTGCTATGTCATTTAACTGAGTTTATTCTCTTGATCCCAATTGTGTTAATGGGAGTATTTTGCTTTTCTTAAACTTTATCTAAATTTGTGAAAAACTGTTTGCCTCCTCCTCCCTTCCTCATGTCAACTAAGGATAACACTTCATGCCAAAAGATTTTATTTCTGGAAGTTTGAGCTACATTGACAAGAGACCTGTTAGTCTTTAAAGAACTACGTGACCCTTCTACTTTTGATGCACAGATGGTGAATCCTCAGTATCCCACCAAGGGCACAACCTGGATCAGCAGCCGGACAAATCTGACGAGTGTCCCTTTGGAATCAAGATAGAAATGTGAAAAACTGATGCCAGCCTTCCAAACCATATCTCTCAAGGAAATTTGTGAGGCAAAGAGTCACCTCAACCAGGATCAGGAGAGTGTACCTTCGGACTTTCAAACAAAGATAGAGGAGTAAGAGATGGGAGTTATTGAAAGGGAATTAAGTAAATTAGAAATAAAGGAAGAGACTGAAGGGGGCGCAAATCAGGTGGGAAAAGAGGAAGATAAAAAGAGAGAAGAAGGAGGGAGAGAGAGAGAGGTAGAAGCGTGTTGGGGAAGAGTAGACAAAGTAGAGGAAAAAGAAGAGCTTGTAGAGTTGATCCAAGACCTTTGGACAGGAGAGTGGGTGGAATTCAAAGTGCCCCGTGAGTACACTGAAAGGGAATGGAGACGACAGACGTATAGAAAGCCACCTTACTGAGGGAAGACAGAGGAGAGAAAGGAAGAGTATAAAGTGTGGGTAAAAAGGGAAGAAAGAGAAGAGAAAGGCTGAGATGTATAGTGAGTCTGGAGACATCCCGTGGGCCCAGCCCCTTCAGACCCCTAGGGAGAACAGTTCCATGGCTTGATAAAGGGTGAACGCCAAGAGGGTTCCATGTTCAGTCCACAAAATTGAAGTGGGCCGAGTACACGTCACAGTTGATGAGTGCCAAATCCAAGTGGTCTCCCCATTGTCATGCCATGAAGAGATACCCTGTTTTAATAACGTGAAGACTTATGATTTACTTTGTTGAACTTGGATGATGAGAAACTAGACTCAAATATTGATGAAGGTATGTTAAATAATAAACCAGTTTTATTAGAAGAATTGAGCGTGACGACTGCTTCTTTGGACAAAGTTAAGAAAAAGGAGGTAGACGGCAGGTGGCAAGATCACAAAATTCCATAGAATGTAGTTGGCGAAGGCCCTGTTAAGGGCAGAGAACATGCTGTTCCGATCATGAAGCAGACCTTGATCTGGGAGACCCGCAGCCCAATTCAATCGCATTGACATCAACGTAAACGTAGGTAGCATCTCACTGGGCGAGGTCTTTTTTTCTATGACCCGTCTGCCTTTTACCCCCTTCCTGGCAAGTGGCTCTGTCACCGGACGCCTCAAGCAGAAATTCGAAGGCGTAGACTCCGCGCCCGCCCCCGCGGGGAGCAGGTTGCTCCGTCGACCTTTCCCTTTTCGCTACAGAGATTTTACACACCAAAGAGCATTGCGGGTGGGTGGGGTGGGCGCAGCAAGCCACCACCTTTTCTCCAAAGAAGGCCACAGGGGCTCGCCACCTTTGCTAGCCGACCCCGGCGCCCCTCCACCGCCACTTCCTCACGCCGACAAAAGTTCTCGCTGGTCCCGCCTTCTTCCTCGCTTCGGCTCGGCTTTTTGTGCGCGCCGCAGCCGGGGTTCGAACTTCCCTCGCCCGGAGGCGGCGGTGACAGCGGAGGGCGCTGACAGAGACGGGCAGCGATGTGCAGGCGAGGCCGCCCTGGCCCTTGCGCGCTCAGGCTTTGGCGGGAGTGGAGAGTCGACCCCGCCGGGCTGAGGTGGCCGCCGCCGATATGCAAGCTTTAGAAGGCAGCCGCCCGACGCCGTAAGTCCTCCTCGAGTCCCCCGCCAGGCGTCTTTCCGCCTCCCCTGGGTTTCCTTTCCCCCCCCCCACCTCACCGACCAGCCGAACTCCCACCACTCCCACCTCCTGGCTTCCCGTGTTTGTTTTCCCGGTTGGGCACCTTCCTTTCCACGCCAAGCCAGATGTGGCTATTGAGCAAGGGGGGGGGACTATTTGTATTTTTTTTTTTTTGCAGAGAAAAGAGACTGAGTGATACAAGAGAAGAGAGCTTTTTTAAATCCCACCAGAACATCGGACTGCGTTGCTTTCTTAATCGACCTTAGCGAGTGGGTGGGTGGCAGGGTTTTTCAAAACTTCAGCTGAAATCGAAATAATAATAATAAAAAAGACTATCCAAAAAGCTGAAACTCTTTATTCTGGGAAGTTAGGCACCAGTCCTCATGGCTTCAAGTAACTTAGGTCATTACTCTCTCATCACTGTTTTCTGTAGTGGATGTGGAATTGGTAACTAGGGAAGTAAAGTTCTCTACTTACCAGTAACGTTATGTTTCCTCACTTTGAATTCAAAGGCTTGGAAAAGGTCTTTGCTACTGCCATAGATCTGTTGTCTTTGCTGGACAATTGTATGTGTGAATCTAAAAAAAATGCTTTCTTTATATAGATAGACATGGGGTATGGGTAGCAGCACATGGGACACAGTGCTTTGCTGCCTTGGACTTGTGTGAATTGTGGTGGCTGCTAAGCTACCATTGCCTTCCTCTTTGGTTGATCTGGAGGTAGCAGAAGGTTGCAAGGTTCCTTTGCAATTGTACAGGACGGTGTGAAGATAAAAATAGGCTTTAAAAAAAAGGACTGTGTGGCATCCTGTCTTTGAGCCCAAATCTCCATGGAAGCAACCAATTTTTTTCTTCATGCTTTTGTTTCTTGAGGTTTTAGGTTTTGAGAAGGACTCTCGGCAACCTTGAAGCTCACACACTTGCTTCTTGTTTTCCACTGTGTCTGTGAAGATAGTACTGTATTGGATTATTCCATGTTTGCTTTATATTAACCACAGGTTACTCATCTAACTGTAATTTAGGGCAGAGGTGGGAGAACTTGTTGTGATCTTTCACCATTACGTGACTACGATTCACACAATCCCTTACTTGGCCATATTGGATGGGAAGTGTAGACCAAGTAGAGTGATGTAGATTTCCCACAACTAGTTAAGGGTTCGGTTTTACCTATGATTTGTACCTAATTTGGGGTGGGCAGGCACTTCCTCATAAGCTATGGTTTGAACATAGTTTACTTTGACTAGTCATTTTTTATTATTTATTATTAAATTTGTTAAATGCCACATAAATAGAATTCTTGAGGCTTTATTCTGTTCGATTTAAAAGATTGGCTTGGATCTACACATACCGTTCTACAGACAGAAGGGCTCCTTCTGTTCATAGAGAGAACCAGGATCTGGTTTCTGAAAGCTTCCTGCAGGATGAAAGGTTGAACACCGCCACAGATTGGGCTTGATAATGAGCTGGTGCTTGTTGTGTTCAATTCTGTAATGAAACTTTATACACATTTAGGACATTTAATGCTTTGAGTAATTTCCTCAACACAAGGTCAGTTGTATCAGACAAACAAACAAAACAAAAACAAAAGAGAAAAAAAGGCACCTTAAAGACTGCTGTATTTTACAGTGGTGCCTCGCTTAACAACAATAATCCGTTCCAGGAAAATCGCCGTTAAGCGAAAACATCGTAAAATGAAATTAAAAACCCCATTGAAACACATTGAAACCTGTTCAATGCGTTCCAATGGGGTAAAAACTCACCATCCAGCAAAGATCCTCCATATGGCGGACTTTTTCGCTGCCTGTATAGCAAAGAATCCATCCCTAAACACAGCGGGGAGCCATTTTAAGCACCCGGTGGCCATTTTGAAACCGCCAATCAGCTGTTAAAAAACCATCGTTTTGCGAAGAAGCGGTTCCCGAAGCAGGGAACCGATCATCACAAAGCAAAAAACCCTATTTAGGCCATCATTTTGCGATCGCAATTGCAATTGCAAAAAGATCGTCGTACAGCGATTTTGTTATAATGCAGGGTAATTGTTAAGCGAGGCACCTATAATGCAGGGTAATCGTTAAGCGAGCACCACTGTAATTTGAATCTTTGTGGATCATGTCCACGTCCTCAGAGTGAGACTATAGTGATTGTCATAGTTATACATGGTGCCATTCTCCACTTGATTTCTACAGGCTTCCAGATTATTTTTTTTTTGCACTCAGCTCAGGTGCATGACAAGAGGTCACACAAAACTGATGGAGTCAGTCAGAATATGTTGTGTTACACTTCTCAGTCACCTCTATGCTAAAGATTGCCCATGGGTTTAACAGAAGCCGCAGCTATAAGTGCTGGAAATTACTCCAAAACCTTCTGGAATCCTTCTGAAACCATCACCTTCTGGACACAGACAGTCTTAATAGGTCCCCTTTAACTTCCAAAGGGAGGCAACAGCTATTACTGTATTTTAAACCTTAGCAAGAAATAAGAATTTTTGATTTCTTTAACCAACCCATTTGCCAAATGATCATTCCAGTTGCCAGATGACAATTTGACCTTTTGACGTTGGCCTTTGGCACAAAAGCCAAAGCAAGATGCTAGCTACCAAAATGGAAATCTAATACTGTACCGTGTTTTCCTGAAAAGAAGACAGGGTCTTATATTAATTTTTGTTCCAAAAACGCAGTAGGGCTTATTTTCAGGTTAGGGCTTATTTTTGGGGTAGGGCTTATATTATGAGCATCCTGAAAAATCATACTAGGGCTTATTTTCAGGGTATGTTTTTTCCCTATGTACAACAGTCTACCTTTATTCAAATACAGAACAGTCATGCCATCTTCTTCTGGTTGCTCCACAATGGTAGAGGGCGGGGTTTTACTTAACTGGGGCTTATTTTTGGGGTAGGGCTTATATTATGAGCATCCTGAAAAATCATACTAGGGCTTATTTTCAGGTTAGGGCTTATTTTTGGGGAAACAGGGTCTCTTTGTGTGTGTGTGAATGCTACTGGAAGAACAACCACTGAGAAATTTACCTGGGTCAAGAGATTATGATTAAGTATAGTTTGTTTGGATTTTGATGACCTGGAAAATTGTAGCTAATTGTAGGAGAAATTGAGAGGGATGAAGATAGGAATCCAAGGCTTGCTTTGGTATGGTCTTCTCAAATTTTGGTTTAACTTCAGTTTAACATTATGCCCAAACCAGCTCTTTGGCTTCTTAAAAACTGTTTTGAAGTATGTAAATGAAATTGGTATTTATTAGCAGCTGTGAACTCACCTATGGTTAACAGGAATCAGCATCAGCTGCTGAGTCATGGATTGTGAAGTTACTAAACATACTGCATGTGGCTTAACTTTTTCCTAATTTTAAGAGAAATTAGATTGTTGGAGCAATATGGGAGGTATGTCTGAATATACATTATTAATGGTTACTAACACTGAATGTATTCCAGAGAGTGCTCGGCATGTGGAAGGGCTTGGACACTAATTTTAATCTTGGCATTTAATTTAGGGAAAAGGGGTTTGGAGTGGAATAGCTGATAGCAGGGGACGGTTTAAGCATCTCCCCTGATATTTGCTGTTGCTCTGTCTCATTTTCTTTAACCAAAAATTTATGGGAGCATCACTATTGGTATAGCTGTAGAAGTCTGTAGGGTTTGAGGAACTTCTTTTTTCAGAATGGGAGGGAGATAAAAGTCTTACCATACATTCAGTCTCACTTACCTACCCAGATATACATGCATGTACAGAAACAGCTGATTCTTCAGCTTTAAGGGAGCAATGTGTTATTTTCAAAGTTTATTGAAATGTTTGGGAGCAGAATTTGGATTCTTTTTTCAGTGTAATAAAAATATGCATGCAGAATAGTCTTAAATTCTGCAAATATGTGTTTGAAAATATGTGTTTTAGATATGTGTTTTAGTAAATGTGTTTTAGATAGCCATCTTTTTGAAAAGTATTAATTTGCTGGGGCATTTTTAAAAAATGCTGTGACTGCAATCCAGTTGCACAGTTATGCAAACCGTGTAACTTTTTGGAAGCAAATTTCCTAAGTTAAGAGATTTCCATAGACATTATCTGTTGTATTCTGAGTCACATGACTCAGTGTGCAACATATAAAAATCTGTGGAGATTTATTAAATCCTGGCAATTTCTCTCTAAAAGTTGTGCTGTTTGTGTAACTACACAACATTATTTCAATCATTACTTTGTCCTTGTGTGCCAGTTCTCTATGGGTTTGAGTATGTATACAAAAATGTATTTCTTTTTAATAGGAACACTGGAGACTTGCACATTTTGTGATAGTGTATTTATTTACAAATATTCAGGTTAAATGTAAGGTTCAAAATTGGGAAAGGAGCACGACAAGGCTGTATATTGTCCCCCAGCTTATTTAACTTATATGCAGAATACATCATGCGGAAGGCTGGACTGGAGGAATCCCAAGCTGGAATTAAGATTGCCGGAAGAAATATCAACAACCTCCGATATGCAGATGATACGACACTGATGGCAGAAAGTGAGGAGGAATTAAAGAACCTTGTAATGAGGGTGAAAGAGGAGAGTGCAAAAAACGGTCTGAAACTTAACATCAAAAAAACTAAGATCATAGCCACTGGTCCCATAACCTGGGAAATAGAAGGGGAAGACATGGAGGCAGTTACAGATTTTATTTTCTTGAGCTCCATGATCACTGCAGATGGAGACAGCAGCCACGAAATTAAAAGGCGCCTGCTTCTTGGGAGAAAAGCGATGACAAATCTTGACAGCATCTTAAAAAGCAGAGACATCACCTTGCCAACAAAAGTCCGAATAGTCAAAGCTATGGTTTTTCCTGTCGTGATGTATGGAAGTGAGAGCTGGACCATAAAGAAAGCAGACCGCCGAAGAATTGATGCCTTTGAATTGTGGTGCTGGAGGAGGCTCCTGAGAGTCCCCTGGACTGCAAGGAGAACAAACCTATCAATTCTAAAGGAAATCAACCCTGAGTGCTCACTGGAAGGACAGATCCTGAAGCTGAGACTCCAGTACTTTGGCCATCTCATGAGAAGAAAAGAGTCCTTGGAAAAGACCTTGATGTTAGGAAAGTGTGACGGCAAGAGGAGAAGGGGATGACCGAGGATGAGATGGCTGGACAGTGTCTGTGAAGCTACCAACATGAATTTGACACAACTCCGGGAGGCAGTGGAGGATAGGAGGGCCTGGCGTGCTCTGGTCCATGGGGTCACGAAGAGTCGGACACGACTAAACGACTAAACGAACGAACTAACTCCCTAAAAGATATTGCTCCACCATCAGATTTCCAGAATTAAATATCATTGCCACTAGGGATGTTGGCAAATCTTTTCATCTGAGTCCCGAGTCAGAATCTTTGGTACCAAGTCTTTGGTACCTATTAAAACAAGCTTTTTTCCCACCAGAAAACAAGGAGATGGTGGGTGGGTACCAAATCCGAGTCATTGAAAAACCCTGAATTGAGTCTGAGTTGAGTCACTAATGTGACTTAAGTCCGACTTGACAGTGAGTCCTACAACTTGAGTCCCATCCCTGATTGCCACTGGATTCTTGCAGAGAATGTCTCAGCTATCTGTGCATCTCTTTCAATCTTGTCCAAAGAAATGTCAGGCATTTGCTTTCTATTTCCTGCTTCTTAATAGGTGTGGCTTATCTGCTTCCCCTGTCTGATGGTTTGAATAAGAACAAGTCATTTCCCTCTGTCACCTGTGCTTTTAAGGTCATCTTAGCTCCCTTTGGGATACTTGGGTATTGTAGGCTATTCATAACTTTTGCCATGTCTTAAGAAATATTGCTTCAGGACTCCATGTGTATCTCTATTTGTAGAAATCGTGAGTCACAAATGGCAGATTTGGAAAGGATCTGGTATAATCTAGAATAGATTTCTAATCCCCCACGTGCAGCAATTGTTTTCTGTTTGAATGAATTACATTGAACACTTTTCCTTGAAGTTTGAACCCATATGGTTCAGTTATAAGAAGCATTATGAAGACTTTCCTAATGATGGGGGAGCTGTCCAGTAACAGGAAGACTGCTATGGAAGGTTCAAGACTCTTATTTGTTAAGATTTTTAAGTAGAAGGTGGCTGGTGGTCATTTGTTAGCAATGTTGTAGCACTGGATTTCCTGTTTTGGGAAGAGGCTGGACTAGATGACCTTTAAGATCGCTTTCAACTATGTGATTATATGACTGTAAGATGTGATTGCTGGCTTGCTTGTGTATGTTTGAAGGGTTAAAGGAAATGGATAAAAATGACTACAGGTTGTACAATTATGAGGATCTCTGTGTGCTGTAAGAGCCACATGTGGCTCATAGAACAGATGGAAGAATGAGTACATTTGTGGAAGGGAATGTCTTCTACAAAAGGAGGAACCTTGGATGCATCTTCCTAAGTGGGAGGAGAGTGTTTGAAAAGCCCAATTCCTCTGATAGTCAAGTGTCTTTTTTTTCAACCTGCTGCCGAGGCTGTTGTGAAATGATGTTCTCACATGTGACTGTGTTTCCCCCCCTCCACTTTAGGAAAGCTTTGCCAGGATGCAGCGTTGATCCAAAGGCAGCTGTTCAGCAGGAGCAGATCTGTTGCTCCCATTCAGATCTTCCTGAAGCTGCTGAATTCAGCCTAACAATGTCTTTGGTACACTTAGCCAAAGGAGCCAGCCTGGATGACCTTATTGATACTTGTATTCATTCTTTTGGTGAGTATTGTGATTTTACCTTTACCTGTTTTCATTCTATCTTGCTCTAGGATTTGTTTTGCAGTGTTCTAGGAATTCTTAAGTGTGACTGATATTTATCACATTTTGCTTTATATATATATCATTACTACAACCACCACCTCTCTCTCTGTGTGTGTGTGTGTGTATATACTACAGCCACCATCTCTCTCTCTCTCTCCCTCCCTCCCTCTCTTTGTGTGTGTGTGTGTGTTGGGAGTATTTAATAGTGTAAAGTGCTGTCCTGGCAGAAACTGGTTGCACAGTTATCACCTTGATTGAATTGGACCGTTCTTTCCTTCATCCACAGTTTGGAATAAGTATTTAGGCTCATGGGTTATAATTAAAAAATGCATATAGAAATGTTGCAGACCCGAACTGAGTATTCTTTCTTTTCTTCTTTTGATAAAATAGATGTCATAGCAAATCTAAAGGAATGATTGTAATGAATGGGAAATACCTGTCATTTTAGCACCAAGGGAATTGCTTTAGCATTCTTGTAAAAGGAGAAGATATTAACTTCAAAATTTTAAAAAAGCCTAGCAGTGCAGCTGTTAGTTAGCATATGAATTATTTCTCTTTTTTACCTCTTGGCTAACAGGATACTTTTTGAATGCACTTCACTGCCCTGTCCTCTGTGCGTATTCACTCAAGAGTAAATCCCACTGAGTTCAGTGGGGTTTATTCCCAAGTAAGTGTGTACAGGAATAACACTTTAGATTATGAATTATTCTTGTATATTGTTTTTCATCAATTTCTCTATGAACTATGTGGTGATGAATTTAATCTTGCGCCTAAAATAAATAAATGCATTAAAAACAGTTAACTACATATTTAGGAATTCTGTCAAGGATTTTGAGTGCTTGTTTCCTTCTATATTGCATACATTTGAAGTTCTAGTACCTTTCATTTGCTATGGGATGAATATAAGTTTGTTTCATGTCCAATTTATTTTTAGTGGGCTATATCCTGTTTATTGTTGGTGAAGCAAAACACTTTAGCTGTGGCTCTTTTGAAATCTCCAACTTGTTGTGTAAATTAGAGATTGCCCCCAAAGAGTGGGGCTTATTTTCACACAAGGAGGTACTGGATACCTCTATCCTTGACCTCCAAAAAGGCCTTTTGTGCATTCAGTGGAATCTTTTGAGTGAGGCAAGAGCCTATAGCTTTTATAATTTCTGATTAATAGCTATAAGCATATGGTTGAAAGCATAGATGATTCCAATGGGAGGTAAGTAAATACCTTTTTCGTTTGCATGTTGGAAGCAAGCAACCTGACCATCTGTTTGATTGTGGTTCATGTGTATGTGGCATGATACAGGTCTATGGCTATATTTCCAGTGAACAAGTTAAAGGAGCTGAATAGGCAAAGCACTTAGCACTCTGCCTTCCTGAATCATGCACCAAACAATGACTAATCTTCCCAATACTTTGAGAGGAGAGGCATGTACATTATCTTCTATATGACAAAGCAAAGTGCATATTGGGTGAAGGATTGATGACATAAAACTGCTAGTAACATTTTTGTTCTTCGTTTCTATACCATATATAAAATAAGTAATGCATATTTTTATTTATTTAATTGGTTTGTTTGATTTCTATGCTAGTTTTTACCATGAATGAAGTTAAAACCAGCTTCATCCGCAGTAGCAATTAAATTTAAAAAACAAACAAGCCCTCATACATTCACAATTACCTAGCATCTGTTTTTTTTATTAAAACGAATAGAATGAAATAAACTTTTGTTTGGTAACAAATAACTGATCTTGTTAATAACATTCTTGCCCAGATGATAACTAAACATAGCAGCAATAAATATAAGGGCTTGGTTTAACATTGTTTACATGAGGGAACTTTTAACTGAGGCAACTTTTTCCTAAGTAAACTTACTTTGGATGAGATCATCAGGTTACATTTTCCTACACACTTGCTTGTTGCAGACTTGCATCTTTGTAAGTTATGTGTAGACTGCAACACTACTTTTGCTACTTTGTAGGATGATGAATAGGGAAGGCAAGAATCAGGAATTACAAATTTCATAATTTCATGTATGAGTTGTGTGGTCATATATGTGGTCATAATCTTAATGAGACCCAAGCTTGGTTTGAATACAGGATCTGGTATACACAGAAGTTGTTTGAAATGCCATTTTTCAGGCCTAGTGTAGGTGGGATTTTTTTATTAAAGCTGTTTTAAGAATACACATTGTGTTGAGTATGTTGGGATATTGAAGTACTTTTAAAACAGCCATAAATCAAAGTTGATCCCACCAGATTAGGAGTTGTAAGGAAGTGTCTTAGTTATCTGGCAAGCTAGAAACACTATTTTAGAGATTGGCGAAAGGGAAGGAAGCTGGCACTCTGCTCAATTATTTCAAATGTGACACAGTACTATAAATTAGATTAATAAAAGCAACAGTTAGTGGTGCTTATCTAGTGATATTAGTGCCTTTTTATAGAGTTCTGTTCCTCATTGTGCACAGCTTTTGATTTCAGGTTGCTTGAACAGCCTTTTTCATATTGTTTATTCTACTGTGAAGCGTGGTAGAAGGATAAATGCTTAAGAATTGTTCGAAATAAAAGCCCAAATTTGTCACCTTGACAAAATAAGATGGGTTACTTTTTGGCATCATGGAAAGAGTTGGTTCATTGAAATTTTCTCGGGTCCATCTGATGTGTGCATATGTTTCTGTACTTTTGAATACTGTAGTCCATGTAATTGGGTAGAAAGTTTTTGGTAAGGGGAAGAATTTACAGAACATTCTAAAGAACTTCATTTGCCTTGGAAATATGAAAATGGAAGTGTATCTTGTCCATGACTCAGAGTGGCTGATTGTATTAGATTATAACAAATGTACTAGGATTGAGCTTGACAGCTTCCATTGTGCATGACACACGATGAAATCACAGGAAACTCAGGTTTCACTGTAAATGGAGACAGTTCTTGTCTTTCATATCAGCATGTAAAAACTAAAAACAAAGGTAGTTTTACAGACTGGTGTTAACTTATTATTGAAATGGTTCAGCAGTGAATTGCACTTCTAACAAGGCATTGACCTTCAGATCTCCATGGCAATGCTTATTTGACATTACTGTTCTAGAGTTTTAGTAGGCAGGGAAAGGTTGCGAGATTTCTAAGCATCAAGTCATATTGTTGAGGTAAGACCGACGACCTGGCTGAAGCAACCAGACGTTTAAGTAAGAATTGCTCCTTCCAGTGTTATGCTTGTGTTCCTTTACCAGGCGGAGGAAGGATCTAGCTATGTTTTGTGTAATGACTGGTCTGTTTACACCTAGGGTTTTATATTCCTTCTCATATGTACTGTACTGAGAGGTTTTAATTTAAGAATCTTTGTCTTGTGCTACCATAGGATTTTTGAGCTATATTTCTAATAAACCGAAACTTAAAACATATTACAGTAGTACACATTTTATCCCACTGTTGTAACAATTCTTCTGGGACTAATGGCTGAGAAGAATTTCATGCAGGTTTCTTCTCCTTCACTAATCTGCTTGGTTTCTGTACTGACTGAGGAGGAAGGATATCCAATCCTCAATTGCATTTCTTTCTTTCTTTCTTTCTTTCTTTCTTTCTTTCTTTCTTTCTTTCTTTCTTTCTTTCTTTCTTTCTTTCTTTCTTTCTTTCCTCTCTCTCTCTCTTTCTCTTTCTCTTTCGCTTTTTCTTTCTTTCTTTCTCTTTCTTTCTATTAGAATGTGTCATTATTTATTTATTTATTTATTTATTTATTTATTTATTTATTTATTTATTTATTTATTTATTTATTTATTTATTATCCCACCTTGCTCCTTAAAAAGGACCCGAGATGGCTAGATGTGTATGAAATATAAAGTTCAAACAAATGCCAAATGTTAAGACAATTAGGTTATTTTTGACTAGAAGCAATCTATTTCAATAGTGTTACCTTCTTTTTGTACATGTGGTGGGGCCTAAAATGCATACACATATGAACTGCATTAGTTGATTTTTTCCCCACAGAAAATTGGTTCTGTATCCAAGTAGCCCCATTTTGCTTGATATTCCTACTTTGCTTTGAAGTCTATTAAGTGGCTTCCAGATGGTCCAGCTAGAGCAGAGTTCCAAGAGGGTGACAAAGTGTTTTCTGAGGGGGTCTTGGGTCACCGTCAATGTCAAACCTCAAAATAGGTTGGGAACCACTGAACTGGAGTCTTGTCCTGGTGGGAGACATTATTCTTCATTCATCCATTTAGCAAGGTGTGTTGTTTCTGTCCTCCATAGGTTTAGCCTAGCTTCTTCTAGTTTCAAATTTAGAGCTTGAGATGTGTGCATAAACCCCTTTTCCTCAATGTTAGCCATCATCTAGAGGTTTGATGTCCATGAAGTGGATGGGGTTCTGTATTACCTTATTTAATTCATTATTTGCTAGTGCCTCTTGATCTACTTCTGGAGGGATAAAGCCAGCTAAATAATACACTTTTTTCAGTGTGTGCAGGTTTTAGGCATCCAGTAATAATCCTGCGTGATTTATTCAGAGGTACTTCCACTTGTTTGACTTGTGCTGATCTATACCATAGGGCACTAGCATATTCTAGCATATTCTGAAGTAGCACAGGGACAAAGCTGCTGTTCTTATTATTTGTGGTAGTGCACCCCAGTCTGACCCAGGCAGCTTCCTTAGTATGTTATTTCTGACAGCAACTTTCTGTTTGGTGTTTACACAATATTTTGTAGGTCAGGGTTTGATCTATAGTGATACCCAAGTACTTAGAAGTAGGGCAATGTTCCAAAATCTTGCCTTCTCAGCTAACTTGGAGCTTCATCTCTGCTTCTCTGTTATTTAAGTGAAAGGCAGAGATTTGTGTTTTCAGAAGGTTTGGTTTCAGATAAGCTGGTGTTTGATGGCCTCAAAGATTTCCCCATGGACTATCAAGGAAAGATCATCATCATAGATGAAACTTCTGGAGTATGAGAATTTCACTTGATCCTTTGTGTAAATGTCAAAA